TAGGACAAGTGCCACGCCGATGAGTTGCGACTCCACTGATGGTGTTCAAGCTCTCATGCGGAGACAAAATACTGGACGCCATATAAATGCCTTGCAGCGCAAATTTATTTGGAACACACAATGGGATAATCTGGTGCATCGAAAACCCTACTTTCCAATCGGAAGAACAGCGTACAGGAAAAATGCATTTCAAATAATATCTTTTGCACAACCTAATTGGATCTAGAAAGTTTTCCGTCAGATAATTGAGCGGATAAATGTGGCCAGTGGATTAAAATATACATGACAGAATCATTAGGGTCCAGCTCTTAGTGAGGTGATCAAAAGGCAGGACAGTACACAACTGGCGCTTTACGCAAGTCATGGTCGTCGAAACAGCCATTCAGTTGGTATCACTAAGTGTGTGGTTTCAGTGCATTTTGGGTTAACCGGTGGGGTCCAGTTTCCGACTTGACATACGGAATACGGTGTTCCAGTAATATGAAATCCTGGTGGACAACGGAATATGGCCAAAGTTCCATGGGTGGGCCGAGCTACGTCGTTGTGGCCTTCTGCGCCGATTCTCTTCAACTCGACTCTTATCCCCTTTTCAACGGTTAACTCCGGGCACGTAACTGTGAAACAGAAATGCATCCGTAACTCCGGTATATTGCGTTCCAATTGTTTTACCAGATCAAAAACATATTAGTCTGAGTTGCACAACACTTTACTACTTTGGTCCCAGTTAATTTCTAAACGAAACAAATGGCTTGCAGATAACTCAGCAAAAACCACATCTGAATTTTGGCGGGAATATACATCAATCTGAACACTTCACTGTTTAAGTGAGCATGGCACAAAACTGGCTTCCTTAGCTCTAAGCAGTCTACAGTATTTGGACTGATTTTGAGAATTAGGTAAAGGAATTTCGAGGTATGTTGTTATGGGAATAAAAACAGGATATTGCGTGCTAGTTCATCTGTCGTCCAGTGTATCCAACTTGCAAATAATAGTCAGTTATTCTATCTAAATGAAATGCAACCGATAATTTGTTAGTTTCTTAGTTGAATAAGTTGACCAAAAGGCCCACATAGCTTCCTAGCTGCGATCAAGTTATAGCTGGCAAGGTCTCATGAAATATAAGCAATTCATTTCAAAGCTACTTCGTTTGGAATAACAGGGTGCACTGAGTTAGTAATCAAAATCTTTTGATTTCATTTGTCATTAACAAAGAGGATAACAGTTTATGCGGCTAGCAAATTGAGTTGCTTCGGTTGTTGCCGGAGTTTGAGCTCAATCACAATTAAAACTTTCCTGAGTTGTATTTCCATGCCCAGATAATATACAAAGTTGGTAAATTTAGCTTAGAATATAATACACTAATCGTTCACTCTTACTTGTTCTAATAGTTTAGCCAAAACACAGCAGGTACTCAAAATAAAGCTCACACGCTTGAATGGCACTGTTGGTTAATTTGGCGTAATTTTGGAGCACTTGCTGTGCCACCTAACAAAATTTAACAAACAGATTGGTGAACTCCTTAGTATGGGATTTTGATGTAATTAAGGGAGGTTCATTGCAGCCAGTTTCCAAATCAGATAGTCGTCCACATGTCCGGAAAAGCGCTAGACTGCATTTTCAGCCTGTTGGGCATGGTCATTAATGCGCATCCATCTGATCCAACAGGATTCGAAACATGACCACCAGAGGCTTGAAGCGCCAGACAGCAGCATATGCCACTTGGCCACGATGGACAGATTCGGACCGTCATGATTACAAGCTAACTGCGATATATCGCTTCAAGCCGCTGGTGGTCACGGGGTCGGATCCTGATGGATCTGATTGATGCGCACTGCTGACCATGCCCAACATGCCGAAACTGCAGTCTAGTGCATTTCCGGGCATGTAGACGACTATCTGATTTGGAAACTGGCTGCGATGAACCTCTCTTAATTACATCAAAATCCCCTACTCATGAGTACATCAAAATAAATCCACTCTGACAGTTTCTAAATGCTATGTCGTACATAGCTACTTTTAGTGGACGTAGTGTCTTTCGGAGCCAACCCTGTCATCTGCAACATTCGTAACTTGCATGGTAGTGGAGGATAAGACGCACTATATCGCGGAGATTATGGAGCCTATACCGGACAAGCCTATTGATTATAAGAGTATAGTGGTAAATAATTTCCGTTTCAGTCACTAAAAGACGGTTCAGCGAACAAGCGCCTTTTCGGTGATTCATTATCAAGCCAATTATAGCATTATTTAAATAATTGAAATACGAAGGATGGATGGAGTAGGTAGAAAATGCTCATAACTGGTTTGATCGGTGAACACGGCAGCTGCCTATGCGACTGATGGCCATGGGAAAGCCAAAGCTTTGACGAATTATTTATGTACGCACGATGGGGGCTGTTAAGACAAATCAGGATCGCTTCCGCCAATTCAAGGATTCTGCACCTGATAAGCTTGGAATTGACACCCCTCACATGGTAGATCGGGCGAAAGGCCTTGTTGACAACGACAGGGTGATTGGCATGGACTAGGTGCGCGACAACTGCAGTGGTACACATCTTGTGTATATAAGAACCAAGATTTTTTTAGTTACAAATACTTTCGTCGTATATCAGTCCCAACAATATTTGCCATTCGTCATGAGACGTAGGTTGGAATCTCGGACAAAGGTGTTTTGTTGGGGACACTACAGGGCTGACTTTGAGCATCAGCACTTTTCCCGTAGTTTGGTGTATTTTTGTAGTACTCCCGAAGGAGAGCAACACTGTACAATCATCAATGACTCTAATGTTCTGCATTTCTTTTGCCGGGATAGGTAAGTGTCATTAAGTCGGTCAGCATTTTGACCTTGTTGTGATATTGCGGCTGAACACCCAGGATGCTCAACTGGTACATTAACTTTTACGCAATTATTCCAGTGGCCTGAGGTCAGCCAAGTGCTTGAAAACCTCAGTTGGGCTTTTATGATTGGTCTGTAACAACAGTTATCTTACATACAACTTATCAACAGTATTTGCTTCATGTTGGTCATATTATTCGTTAACGTTACCTCGGTTAACTAGCAGTCGTTGGCATTCATGTCTGTTGCGTCTCTGTGGTCTGTTATGCATTCTTCATCACCGTCTCATTTCAGGATATCGTTAATCTAACCGGTCATAGGTTTTGAGTCCACCTCCGGAAGCCATGCTTACGACGAACCCATCAGAAATACTCAGAACTGATTTAGTTGTTGCACCTTAGTGCGGTCAAATGAACCGCATCCAAAAAGAATCGATAACATCCGTGCGGTGTTAGTATTTCGGAGCCCAATAAGCCGTTAGTTCGACAACGGTAGTAAACACTAATGTCAACGACTGTCGGGTAAACGTCATCAATCATCATCAAATACCCCAGGCGTATATATCAGAAAGAGTTAGCGAACAAATTTTGCTTTCGGTGGTTCTTCATCAGGCTAATACATCACGAATGAAGACATTGAAACGACTTATAAGAGTATTAATAAGAGTACTGATAAGAGTACATATTCAGAAGGCTAGATAGTGCCCAAGCTAGATGACTGGTGCCACAACGATCAAGGGTGTGTGTGTGTGTGGTGTTAACCACACAATGTGTCAGCGTTACAGAGTGGCAGGGTAGAGTGAGTGCCCGAACGGATTTCTTATACAAGCATAACTAGGGGTCTGAAACCGAATGTCTGAGACAGCACGGGAGCACTGACCAGCTTGGCTGTATAGCGGATTGAGTGGGATAGCGGCGAGCGCCGTGGCTGTGCATTTGGTTGATTTGAACCACCAGGTCGATGCCCAGGTGGTGTTTCACTCCATCTACCATGTAACTAGACGCATACACGAGCGGTCAAATATCGCCTTCTGGCAGCGGTCAAAGCGATCGCAATTCGGCTTCTTGACCCTAAACTATGCGTACATATAAAATTCGCCCGGCCACTCACCCTACCCTGTACTCCTGAAACGCTGACACATTGTGTGGTTAACAAACACACACACACACCCTTAATCACTGTTGTATCAAACATCTAGCTTGGGTACTTAGTCCGTCTAGGCTTCTGAACATGTTTCCTTATCTCTTGTTTAGGTTTCTATGTCATTCTTTCATGGTGTATTAAACCGATGAAGAAATACTGACAACAAGAGCTTGTTCGCTAACTGCTTCCAAAAATCATTATAGCTGCTTGAACTGTTTACTGGGCCCGCAACTAATGACGCACGAAAAATACTATCCTTAATACGGATCGTCGTGAGCAATCAATTATATGACAGCATACTGATCAAATATATTCTTCCCTGCACATCAGCAATTAATATTTGAAGAAAACTGTGATGCCTCCTCACCTGTGAGTGCCGCAATTTAGCCACCTGTGCTCTCCAGACGTCAACGCTGGCAATTGCCTCTACCCAACTACTCTCCTTGAAACTATTGCAATTCGAAATCCGGTCCTACTCGGCGTTTACAACCCTTTTACTAGGGTACTTTATGATAGTGGCCTTCCATGACCCCATTCCGTCTGTAAACGTTCAGCCATTATTCGCTGCTCCTGCTTTTTAGAACCTCCTGTCGCTTATCACTTTTGACAATTTGTTGCTCTGTTTTCCATTTAATAATCTGTGCATCCAGCTCCCTTGCCATCGTTGAACCCTTTTATCACTTGTGATTTAATCTGTGCACTATCCTACTAGTGATCTCGTTTAGACACTTACGGCGCTGTTAGCCGCCTTTAGTGTAGTCTTGTTCTTTGATTTCTCCACAGTGGAAACGCGTCTATTCAAGGTCCTTCCAAAGGATTTGTTGCTTGCAATTACAGTTATCGAAGGTCGCGAACACGCAGTGTTGTAGCTGAAGAAACGTGGCAATGTTAGTGAGATAAAAGTAAACGATCGGTGCCTTCGTACGCCAGGATGGGACACTGGAATTAGGAGAATTCGCACATCTTACACACAAAGGGATGAAATATCGACGTTATTGTAATGTTCAAAGTAGTAGTTAACCGAAGTTGACCAACGAAAAATGAGGCGAACTTGTGATGAATGAAAAACTCAGAACTTTTTGTTTTCTGGAAAATGTACTTGTGCTTACTTTAGACGTTTGAAGTTCACATTACACATTGTCAGGATATGCAGTGACGAGTGTTGCACTAAATAAGCCACATTATTCATATCTTCCTTGCAGGATTTAAACTTAGCAATCAAAATGTTTAGAACTGTAAATGATGGAGCATATATTTCAGCACAACACGAATTAATGAATTCTCAAATGTCTAGTAACCTAAGGGTGATAAAAGTTCTCGCACAAATTCCCTAATAGAATACAGGCGTACAGATTTTGTATGTCCAGCTCACTTGGTTCGCAGTAGACTGGAGTTCCCATCCAATGACCGTGCAAACATCGGACCGTTCCCAGTGGATCCCGGACAGTATCAGGTGGGGTCATTAAAGCAGACATTCTCAAAGCTTTTTCTACTCGCAGCTGTCGACCAGCGAAACATTCATAGCGGGCTCTACTATTGTGTTGGAGACTGTAAAATCGAACGCGAGCACCTCTTGCTGCTGGTGGCCGGGTCCTGCAGGATGCTGGGAAAAATAACAGATGGATAAAATAGAAGGTATTTCATAAAAGTTTTCAAGCTTTCATTAATTTTGTTCGCAAAAGAGGAATGGCTGTGAAATCTAACAAATTGATGACACGACATCGTTCTGATACTGTGCTTATAAATCTAAAGGCGTAGAAACCGTTTAAAAGTGGCTGGTCTCAAAAATACGTATGTTAGTAATTCTGAATACTGAATATTGTGGAGCAAGTATAAATGTATTCTGTAACACTTCCAAATATGGTAGAAAACATTATAAAAGTTGTCAGTCGAGGCTATCGTTATCATTCTTATGGAACATTTAACATATCAGGCTTACGGTACTGTAGCACTCACAAATGTGTGATGTCACCGTAAGTGTGCACTCGTTCTCTTAATCGAATAATGGTGAAATATAAAGCCAACAACGTTTTGAACTGCTGCACAGATGTAGCCCTCATCACACGTTTAGGCAAACTATTCCAATTGTAACGCGCTTATCTACCCATGAAATTCTTCTACTCTTCGCTTCGTGGTCTAGTCTACAGACCTTGGCCGATCGTTGATGGATATCGACCAGCGTTTACGTGCGCCTCCTTACATTCCCATTGTTAGCGTTGTAGGTGTGTCTGTGTGTGCATGCTAATGTCCGGCACTGGTTTCGTGCGTGTGCGTCTACCGACGACCTTGGATCTCCAACCCTACTCTTCGCCGAACAGGACACGTTCAGCCAGGAGCATGTGTCGCACACCCTCCCTCGTTCACTGGTCGCTTGTCTAAACACCATGTTTATGCGTGCCATTAAACTCTCACCCTGTGATTGGACGACCCATTGATTGGTCAACGCCATTATTCTTAATACTCGTAGCACTCAGGTGTGGTGACTTGTCCTTTGATTGTCCGGCGTAGACAACGCGTTTCCCTCCTATTGTTTACTGACACCTTGTTGTCAACTTGCATACACCGGGATACTGAACAATTGAAGTATGTCCCAATTATCAACTGTATATATTTTAATAGTACCGTAGTATTTGTGATCCGACTTGTTTTGATTTCGGGATCTTTGGCTACGCGTTATTCAACGGTCACGGTGGACGTTACACCAATTGTTTATCACTCTCCGTTCGAATCACAGTGAGTGGAGAACTCGCTTCACAGCCCGCACCACTATTTTGGATCTGCGTCCACGTGTGTTGCATGGCCCTCGTAAGCGCAGCATTGGCCTCAGTAAAGAGAAGCCATCAAGAGGTAGAATACGGTAGGTCATAATGAGATCGACTCTCACTCGACGGTAGGACTATTAGTCTCTCGTACTGGTCTTCATACGGCGAACTACGTAAACTCGGGAGGAGCCTGGTCGCAACGTGTTGGGCCCGTTCGATTTTTGTGCCTCGCTTCGGCGACTCGGAAAGTAGGCGGGCAAACCGTACTCTAGCATTAGTCTAATGATGGAAGTGAAGCGGCGAATGGCAACCTCTTCAGGCCATGAGCAGAAGCTAGGTTTGAACGCCCAAAGCATATGCAGTCCTCTACGGTATAGCCTGTTCGTGTTGTCCACGGACTTTAAATCCCAGCGCGAGAGCACATCTAGGTCCTTCACGGAGGGTTTGGGATATAGCAGTTGGCCGTCAAATGTGTGGGTTCAGCAGTCAGCACCATTTCCCAGGCTCACACATATACAGACTTGTCTGTATTTTCCAGGAGATGAAGTTCTGCAGATCATGTGGACAGGCAGTTGATGTCTTGCTGGAGTACACCACAGTCGTCGGGAGCGTCAATATCTCTCCTTATCATCACATCGTCCACAAACAAGGCACACAGCGATCGCAGAAGCTGAGGTAAATCGTTGATGTGAATCAAGAACGGAGTGGGCCCCTGTACATTACCATAAGTTACGCCAGTTTTAGTGGGATACCTATCAGTTAGATGATGCAGTGAGCTACCGACACCGCACATCCTTAGTTTGTGAAGGAGGACCTCATGGTTGAACTTGTCGAAAGCTTTAATGAAATTGATGAATATCACGTCAACAAACTTCCCCTTGCTTATTGCCTGCAACCACACTTGCCTCGTCACAAGCAGCTTTGTAATGCATGAGCGGTCTTGCATAAATCCGTGCGGGGTGGGCGTCAGGGCCACTTTTGACTGAAGCAACTACAGCAATCCCTTCTTCACATTTTTCCGAGCAACCTTTGCCAAAATAGGTATCAGATAAATCGACCTGTAGTTGTCTACTATGCTACAGCCGCCGCCATTCGGAATAGGCTTCACCCCCGAACATTTCCTTACAAATGGCAACGAACCTTCGGTCAACGACCTGTTGAAAAGGTCATTCATAACATGGAACATGGCTGAAAGTGACTTGTAAATCAGTGCGTGGAGCCCATCAGTTCCGACAGGTTTGCTGCCCCCATTGCTTGCGTGTGGTTGACATACTTATTCAACGCCGCAATACAAACTGTCGAGTTCGGTAAAAGCGATACACGTGGAACTCGGAACTGGCACCTGCTTATTTGCAAATACAGAAGTGAGGGGCGCTGCCAACTCGGAGGCATGCACAGTGATGGAGGTTGGGGGCTTACGTTCGGGCCATCCAGCACTGGCACATTACCTGAAGGCTTCAGACGCCATTTCAGGTAAGTAAAGATTCCTTTTGGGGCGGTCTTTGCGGCAATTGCGAGCTGCTCATGGAAATGTCAGCACATAATACTTGTTCACACTATTACCCAAGTTCCGCTCTTGTAACCATTAGCAGAGCCAGAGAGGAGGAATTTGCCCCACAGTCTGCGTCGCCTCCGAGGCAGATTTCCTTATTACTTATCAAACCATTGAAGCTTAATCGGTCTAACCAACCGAAATTCAAAAGAGCACATATTGAAAACACAATAACGTCAAGCGCTCTTTTCTAAATGTCCAACTGTCTGCGACAGATGCAGCCTGTGACAGAGACCAAGGCAGTTTGCTCGTCGCTTCAGATAGACCGTTGAAGCATGTGTTCCAGTAGTTGTTATGCTGGCTCTGGAGGACTTGTATATGTCAAAGAAAATTCCGTGTCAGCTATGAGCACTGAGTACTCGCTTGTAGCCAGGGGCTCTAGGATCCGAACGTCAAGCAACCGTTGTTCATAGATTGTTAACATCAGGTCGAGACAAGACGGGGTTGAGTGTGGTGTTATGCTTATTGACTGGCATATGTGTGGCGCTGCACCAGTTTCAAGTACCAAATCCACGAACTTTGCTTCAACCTTACCATGCGCAGACATGAAATGCACATCAGGAGATCATATTCGAAGAGAGTTAAAATCGCCCATAGATAGAAAATGTGGGCGACTCATGTTGCTTCGAAGACAGTGCAGCCAATCCAAACAACGACTCAGGAGGCTGGGATAGACTGCGCGCACAAGTAGTTTTCCGCGCCTGAGGTGGATGGAGCACCAGAGTAGCTAACACAAACTATCGTTACTTCGGTAAGTGCTCACAAGTCTCCCACGAAGGGAAGATCGGATTTGATTTGGCGAGCGCATAATGACTGACGGAATGCCGAAACCTGGACTGCATACGTGACACATCGTAAATACTGTGTCAAATTGATCCGCCAGGAAAAGGTCATGCACCCGCAGGAATTAATGAAGCGATGCTGCACGAACCGCAAACTTCTGAAACACATTCCAAGACACAATTGTATCCTCCTGCACTTTCGAAATTCTCAAAAAGTCGTTGAATTTTGCTCTTAGCTCCCAACACTTTGTTACCTAAATTGCGCCATTTTGGATTACGCCAATCATACTCTTCTACAGGAGTTATGTGTCCCATGGACCCAAGAAGCCGGCGCATAAGTGAGCGACCATATTTTGCTTTTCTTACGCCTTACATCGACAACCACTGCACTCCGTGTATTTCTGCGTGCATACAGTTGATTTTTATTTTACACACGTTATATATCAACCCACGCATCTCAGCAGAGGCTTGACAGATGATCCACATATATTTTGAATTCATCATATTCACCCCAACCATGTTACGAGACGTGTCAAGCGCTTGCTTTTATCCCGTGATATATCATTGTTCTTTGTTTATCACTGTACTCGGCCAAACTTATTAAAATTATACTTGGGTATAAATCTGTACTGGACACACAGATTTGTGAAGCATTGAGTTGCGAATATGAGTTCCGAGAGTGACACGAAACAACGCGTCCAATCGTCGCACACAAGCTCGTACCATGCTGGTTCACTCTCTGTTCTGAAAGTAGCAGAGCAACTGTCAAGTAGGCTAGGTGCTCGTTTCAGTATGAAGGACGGAGACGAGGTGAGCGCACAGTTCGTCCGGACAATCAAAGGGAAGTAGTGAGACCAACATAACCAACATGTTAGTGGTATTCGAACGCACACTTACAGTCTATCACCCCACTAGTGAATCAATGAAAATCTGTACAATATGAAGCAGTATCTACAAGGGAATGACGGAACAATGCCTCATGTAGGTCACTGTTACAGTTTACGGGCTAGCGTATGCGGAGGAACTTGAGCGCTGCATTCCGTCGAATTCTGAAATGCGACGACCGCTTGCTGAGTCCCGATGACTGCTATTTGTTGCCATTTACTATTTAAGTATGCTCATAATAACATTTGTGTTAATGGATGAATGCGAAAAATAACCGAAGGCAAACACAATTACATTACGGTTTGGTCTGTGGTGCACGATCTTTGTGTTTAGGCTATATAACAGAGAGTAAGGACTAGCGTGCTTTTGATCTTGGGACAAATGAAAAAGCCGTAGCCCCATTCAACTGATAGCATAAGCTGGATTGCTTTGCCTACAACATGTTTTATCTGTGTCCATACAGAAGCAACGTATTCAAACAGAATAGAAAATTAAGCATTCTCGCGCATAAGAGATTAGCAGCTTTTGCCGCAGAGCGCAAATAAGGGTACTCGTTAAGTAAATAGATTTAGGAACCGATCTGCCCTAAGTAAACATTGGAACAAGTAGAACTGCGTAGATTTCGACAGACAGTTAGCAGACTGTAGCCAGAGTTCAAGGGTGACGGAAGTTCTAGATGTTGCCAGAGGCAACAGAATGCAACTAAATAGACCAACGATAACGTTAGGGAATCAAAATGGTCCCAATGCCACTAGATTGCACTCGCTGGATACAGTTGCGTTTGTTCAAATATTTGACGGCTTCAGTCTGTTCTTGAAGCTATTATATCCAGATACATCAATGTAACTACACTATCGTTTACTTTAAATGATAAAGAAGTTTCCTTTTAAGATATTCATCCCAGTAGTTTACAAGCTACCTAGCACAGCCTAGTTCGGAAAAGCACCAGACGCCTTTCGCCCTATTGGGGCTCGTCAGTGATGCGCATTCTCTCGGTCTCCTACTTGGGATCGAACCCATGATTACTCGATAGCTAACCGAAGGGCTGAAATGACAGGTACTAGTAGGGCATTCCACTTGTGACAAACACGCAGCAAGATTACACTTTGTCTACCATGCAGATTGGTGTGTTGTTTTGCAAATTTGTGTCGGTGTCCTCTCAGTCTGTTGTTTTGGGTGTTTCAGCACCTAGCAGCACATGTGATCAGGGTTGCTTCAGATTTAGTAAACCATGTAAATATCACTAGGCAAAAGCCGATAGCGTCCACTTAAGACTCCTGAAATTCTCCGGCGCTGTTCGCATAGAAAATGAGATAGTCCTTTGACGTTTCTGGTGACTCCATGATTGGGAATTGCTTAGAGAGTGCGATCCCCTTTCAGCGATGGCTGCCATGCTTGAATCGCATATTCCACGTGAGGGCGTATGAATGAAGAAAGCAGTTGTGAGCATATAGATGAGACAAAATGAGCAAAAGTATCCTTTAGGAGCCTCAATGTTTTGGTGCACACTTTTGATGCAGGCAGAGATCTCCCCCAGCAACCGAGATCTTCATGGATCAATACACCAAGCTCTTTCCTCCAAGAACAGGGCTGGAGATCCTGGTCGCCCAGTTTATACGTGGGAACCACTCTGTGGGATAGATAGAACACTCGAAAATAATTCACGTCGAAATGAGGACGATTGTGGATTGAGCATTAATAAATCATGTCGATGTCGTTTTGAAGCTGCACAGGATCCGTTGGAGCTTGGATCAGCCGCAGATCTCTAATTTTATCGACCTAAAGCATGCCTTGCAACAGGCAAGCTCTGCCCTGGAGTCGGCTAGAAACATATGATAAATCTATACGTATAACGTAAAGTCTTCAAGGGTCACCATATTAATCTACTGACCACCTTTCTTAGTCGACCGTTTTTATTCTAGGGCATAAACTTCCACCGTGTAAACCTTATGGATCCAGACCTCTATATTTGGACCATATCTTTTTGTTGATCACATTGGTCTAGTACTTAGAGTGGCTAGCCTTCGGAGACTTTACTGTACCTAACACTAATGAGACGATATAAAATGGCAATGGCTGTCATTTTTCGTCTTCTTACGCCTTTATTCCAACTAATAAACTGATCTAGGTATTCCACGTGTGTCCAAGAGCAAACAGTTTATTCAATTCACTCTACTACTTCCATGATGACACAAATACACATGGTGTACAGTGGGCAGTTAAAAATACCATAATACATCTACAAGTGACCGCCATTATATGCTGACCCCTTCACTAATTTAACGTTTTTCATTGCCTAAACTTCCCTTACATAAACATTTTGGATGCAGATCTCTGTATGTTGACACCTTGGGTCCAGTTAATTGTGTGATCAGCCAACATATTTCGGGAGAAAATCCAGCGACACAGATAAGTTATCGTTTATGTCAAAATGTTCCTCAGAATCTGGTTATTGCAATTTAAGAAGCTGCAAAAGGCGCTTGTGTTTATTCATACCTGCGTATGATATTTACTTTATTTGGCGATTTCCAGTTTATTTCCATATTATTTCACCATACAGAAATGTACCTACATTGTTGCTTAAATGTGCTTTATTTGTTTTGTTTTTATCAACTGCAGTATGTCCACACACAGTTTTTCTGTAGTTTTACTTCATATTTATGCTTTATAAACCTTAGCCTTATTTATCTTGGGAAAGTGGTATTTTCTCTCACTTACCATCAAATCTGCAGGCGAATTGGGGTAACTGGTCGCTTTGTCTTTAATTCAGTGCCTAGGACCGCACTGTCCGATATATCGGCACCAATCAGAAAGGCCGCATACATTAGTAATTGTGAAAAAAAATGCAGCAACTAACCAGGAATGCATTTGATTCGAAAGCTCCATACGCCGTCAGTACACGTGGTTGTCGAAGGTTGTGAGCCGGCCAGCTCAAACCCACTGTGGCAAGAAACGTTTAGCTGGGATCCATGCCGCACTCTTCCATTTGGCAAAATAATTCCCTGCGCGTCGGGCGCATTACTGACTCCGGCCAATGTATCGAGTCGACTATACGCGTCCGCCGTTATGGGTATCAGTCGCTGCGAAGGAGTGTTTGGGGCATGTAACAAAACCACCTCACCTTGATCCACGGTGAAGAGGTAGCAATGTCGATTACACGATGGCATTGGTTTCGGTAACCAA